GGGCGCAGTTGCACCGGGGGGTGCTCCTAGGCGGCGGCGGTCCAGCTAGCGGCCGGGTTCTCTGTCGCAGAGCAGGCGGGCGGCTGGGTGGCGGCGTGGCGCTGTGGCTCGTCCTGATGGCGGCGCTCGGCCCAGATCTAGGCCCTACGGGGCCCATCTGGGCCTGGGCGGGCCGGCGGCGGGGCTGGTTGGCGGCGTGATTCCCGGGATGCAGGGGAGCGGCGTTGCGCGACAAAGGGCTGGCGGCTCCGATGCCAACTTGCTGCAGCACAACCGGCGGGGCTTAGCGGGCCTGTTTCGGGCCTGGCCGGGCCAGGGGTGGCCTGGTATGCCCCGCTGCCGTGTCCGGTCGGCTACCGCGACAGTGTCGGAGGCTCGACTTCTCGCACGACGGCGGCGAAGGTGGTTCCCTTCCGCTCGGCTTTAGTGTTGTTGTTCTCGTCGCGTGGCGCTTCTCTCCGATCTTCTCGGCCTAGTGGTGGTCCTAGTAGTGAGACGGCGTGGGCGGCAGCGCAACCGTGGTGGCGCATTGGGTGGTTGTTTGGATGGTTGGCTCCGGATGGGCGGTGGTGTTTGGTGTGCGGGAGAAATCCTTGCCGGTTCGTCCGGCGCCGATGCGGTGACACAGGCGGGTGCCACCATTCCTTCTTGGAGGGCGTCGATGGTAGCCATCTCCTACTTTCCTCCGCATACCGGGGGAAACCCTAGGACTTGTCCGGGCAGCAGCGTCGTCGGCGTCGCATACCTTCTTGGAGGTGTTGCTTGGTATGCGGCACTCGGAGCCTCGGGCTGTGGTGGGGTGTTTCCGGAGGGCGCAGCGGTGGCGGGCCTTCCACGCTTTGTCGATCTGCCGTTGTTGGCATTATGTTTCTTCTCCTTCTTTGTCTTTGGGCTTGTTGTGCTGCTCGCCCCAGCGTCGAGATGTATCCTATGTTGGCTGGTTGCTTTGGAATACAAAGCGGGGAAACCCTTTTTCGGTAATCTAATGACAGCTACGTTTTGTGCACGTATAAGTCGACTCTCCCCTTGAAAGCTATGGTCTTCTGGCAGTTGGTTGCTGCATCCAGTATTGATTTGTTTATTGTCGCTTGCACTTCTCACTTCGATTGGGATGTGAAATATCCACATAGTTTCATCTGGGATAGCTGCTGCTGTAGTGAATTGAATCTATGTAGCGGTTGTGTCTAATAAAAGCCAAAGGTTGCATAGTTCTGATATGGGATAGGTGCGGCTTGAGTTGAATCTCTGTAGCAGTTGTGTCAAGTAAAAACAAAAGATTTTGAATCTTTCTGCCTGGTGAAACTCGCCAGAAACATGCGTTGCTTAGTTAGAATATAAGACTTGGGCTTGATAGAACAATGAAGATATACAGAATGCACACGCCCCTCTTTTCTTTGGCAACAGATCATATGTCTTTTTCAATTACATAAATGTTTTTTTAATTTCTAACTGCAATAATGCCACGTGAAATGAAAAATGAATCCTTGTGGCAAACTTGCAATTTCCTAACTTTTTTCCTTTATAGTCCAGCCTTGATTGTCAGGTATTAATGACATAGTATGTATCTCTCAGGGCATCTCCAACAGCTGTAAGATAGGTGTTGGTAAATTTGTCACCTAGGACATAGTGATGAGGTGGCATGTAATAAATGTGGAGAGAGAGCAAAGCTGTATGTAGA